ACCAAAACAAAAACAGACATTCTGACACGGAAGTAGAATAATTGTCGGTAACATTGTTTTTCAAAGAAACAAATATGTGAACTTAGATGGTTTCCAAAATATCTGAAAACTTTGTATGGTAATTTTTTGCTTTAGTACAGTCAAAAATTTACACACAACACCTTTGATGAATTTAACCACTTGTACGCATTATACAAAAAGGAGAATTGTGTTTAATTGCTTCTAATTGACCTAATTTTCCTTCCTAATAACTCACAAAACACAAGCTATTCACTCGGTCCGGATCATTGAATCAGTTGCTCTCTGCTGTTGGATAAGTTGAATTCACAAATCATACGATGCGACATAATACGATTCAATAGGTTCAATAAAAATAGTCGTTTTAAATCGATTTGTTCATAAACTGGACATCGTTATCAAATCATAGAGCAGGTCTCTATTTTTTTACTTTAACGTCTGCATGAAACAGAAGTTGTGAAAGCCTTTTCTTCCCTATCTAAGTGAAACAGCTTCTCGAAGAAAAAAAATATCACTTGATTGTGACCATTCAAGGTGAATAAATATTGCAAAATTCCATAAATATAGAAAAGAAAGAATTGTTCATTTTGATTTCATGGTGACGTTTCCTGTTTTAGAACCACTTAAGGCCACCTAAATCACGAGTTAAGGATTATCCCACGTCTGAGGAGGCAAGCAGCAATGTCATGACACAGTGAAAATAATCCCTTCTAGTTAAAGACAGAAACGGTGACTGTGCTAGAAGCAACGAGTCAAATCCCAGAGATTGGTTTTAACGGGACTGTGTTGCAGGGAGTGCAGCTGTCATTGAGGTTGATTGAATGTATTTATGTTAACTTTTGGAATGTGTGCAGAGACTCTGACAGCACGCTGGAGGCAAACCATAGGGCAGTGCACTGGGGTTTAACGGCTCTCGATGACTCCTATTAAACTTACCGACCATAAATTCAAGTAGTATTTTATTTATTTATTTTTTATAGTGCAACTACTGTGATCTTGTAAAATATAAATTGGTGGTGGGTGGCAATAACTGGCATTCTTAGGGTGGCATTCTAAGTGTAAAAAACAACATACAGGGAACACACACAATGCCACGACCCACTGGTGTTAGGATGGCAGGTCAAGACAGAAAGAATGTAAACATACATCCACTTCAGAAAAAAACTGATTGAGGGAAAAGGAGGCTGATGTGTATAATAATGAGGCCCTGGAAAAACGGGAAAAACGAAGACCTAAAACGGAGAAGTTTAGAAACGCTGCAGCTGCATTTTGCGTTTTGAATCTCCGGAGGGCGTTTTAGTGTGGACGAGACAAAACGGAGAACTTCAGAAACGCTGACGCAGAGGCTGACACTTGACTCTATGATTGGGTGTTATCAGTCATGACGTTTCTTTCCCTGATTCGTCATTCACTGTTTACACCTTCACGCGCATGCCCAGTGTTGGTGAATGGTCACGTGATCCGCGTTTTCAGTCGTTTTAATGTGGACGGAGATCGTTTCTAATACGCAGATAAAACGCTGGTGTGGACGGAGATCGTATTCGTTTTAATTCTCAGTTTTTAAACGAAAACGCAGTAGTGTGGACGGGGCCTGAGGCTCTGTAAAAGGCATACACCGTATAAAGTGATCGTGATTTTAACGGTAAAAGACTGTAAAAATGCTACAGTGAATAACTGTTAATTGGTTAACAGAACCGTTCCTTACTATATCATGGTAAATTTAATGTAATTTTACTGTAAAATACCATTAAATTTACAGTTTTTAAAGTAAAAATGAACAACACACTGTATAATTTACAGTGAAAAAACATAAATTGACATTCCCACAATTCCTTGCGTGACACTTCGCATTTGATGTATTTTTGTTGAAATAACTTAGTTTGCTTAGTCTTTTTCTAATCAGTTATATACATTAGGGTTTTATGTGACATTTAATGTGGTTAAAATTTCATGTGTGTTACCATTATGGTGTTTAATGTCAACGCATTCTCACCCCAAGGCGTCACCTTTGACCATGCTTCAATATTTGACGTTTTAGGCGCCCTTTAGCATCACTTACATGATGCGATCCTACGGCGTCATCTAACTGACGCTAAAGGAAAGCGTCAGGACACGGTTAGGTTTAGGTGTGGGGTGGGGGTAGGTACACGCGATCCTAGGGCAGGGCGCCTAAAGCGTCAGATATTGAAGCATGGTCAAATACTTCCAAAGGCGTCAGTTAGGTGATGACTTGGGGGTGAGAATGAGCTGTTAATGTTTGAGTGAATCACACTGTGCTGCTTTCTATAAATTATTATTAAGATTCTTGTGAGAGAGTGTCATGTGATGAGCTTCCGTATATCATGTGACTCTCATCACCGCTGTGATTGTTAGTTGTCAGTGTGTTACAATGGTACAAAACAGATATTAATACTTCATTTGGCCGATAGTTTAACATTATATCACATAATAAATACGGTTTATTTCTGTAAATTTTAAGTTCTGTAAAACCTTGTTACTGTAAAATCTTGCTACCGTATTTTATACGGTAAATTTCTGGGAACCACAGCTGCCGGTATTTTACCGTAAATTTTACCACAAATTGTTTTTACAGTGTAGTTTAGTTAAAATTTAATTATTTACTTTCATGTTGTTCCATTCTTTGCACATTCATGGCAGGTTATGAGGAAAGTCAGTCATGAATCGGGTTTATCGGACTCATGAGTTCACCACTACTGACTCAATCAAATCACATGAGGGAAAACTCTGTTTTGTCACATCCAAAAAACTACAGTAGTTTATTAGAAGACTTGGAATACAATGCACAAGATATATAGATAACTTCCATGATCCGTTGGTTCTCAAGAACTCAACCTTTGGGTGAGAAAATGATGACAGATTTTTATTTTTGGTTAAACTTATTTCTTTATAACTTCTGTGAATATAAAAAAATAATATGTTGTCAGAGCAACAGCCTGTGCTTCAGGCGACTCTAGTTTAAGCTTGAACTTTCCAGCTTCCCTTCCCATTGCTTCCTGTCTCATATCATAAAAAGCCAAAAAATACAGCTTAATAAAACTCAGAAAAGATGGCGTGAATAAGACATAATCTTCATCATTTCTCAGAAATCTCTCTGTGAATCCCTGAGAAGAATGTGACTACCACAACACCCCCAGTTTGTTTCATGTTGTGTACCACAGTTTTTGTTCACTGATTGCAAATAAACTGTCCCCTCAGGAATTTTAATCTGTTGTACAAAGTCCAGGGAATTAACAGTGCTTTCAGTTTCAAAATGAAAGTCGGGAAGATCCAGTGTTGGCTAAATTCTACACAGCCAAAATTGAAGGAAAATCAGGGTATACAATGCAGACTAAACTCAAACTCAAATAGAAACTAGAAAATGCTGTCTTGTGGTTGAATGACATTAAAATGCAATGAATATTAAAACGATTCATCAAACGTGTCTTTCGCTCTCTGTGGTAGACAGACATGGATTAAGAGAGATTTGAATCTGTCTGATGCAAACAGAGTTTGAAAAAAAAAAAGAAAATATTACTAATAAGATGTGTGCTTACACACAGATTTTGGATGAAGGGAATTCCAAACACACCACACTTGCATTCACACACTTTTTCCTTACATCTGGCCAAGAAGACCTCACTCAAACTAACCTTGAATGTTTCAATTGCTGTCTGCCTGGGTTCTCTTACATTACAACTGCCATAACTGAGGCACTACAAGTTGTAATAGTCCTCAATGCTGATGTCTAGCCACTCCCTTAAGACAAAACTTGACTTATAGACAAGAGATTCTGCTAGAGATGAAAATTTGCTGAGGCAAACGTTATTCTGGTCCAGTAGACCGGAACAATCTTTGATGGTTAGGGTAGGTTAGGTCATGTCTCTTAGCAGCTTGGATCCTCCCTTTCGGCTTTGCTTTAGGATCACAGCAATTAAATGTGATGCTATCTCAGCAACCTTGAGATCAGAGGAAACTGTCCAGTGAATTCCTGACCAGAATTGGTACAGCTTGGGTCTCTTCTTTCCCTTTTGTGTATTTCACGTTTTTTTTTTTTAAACCAGGGTTTAGAAAATTTGAGAGAACAGAAACTTTTTAAAAATCTTTTTCTTTTTAATTTTAGGGCTGTCATGTTATAATAACTTTAAAGGTGCATGACATTTTTTTTTTGACTGTAATAAAGCATCAAAATACCATAATATGTTTGCGATTTAGGAAACATGCTAAGATGACATACTTGTTTCTCCAAAAAACAATGCCACAGCCAATATTTTACAGTTGGCGGGAAATACAGCGTATTGCAGCCATGGAAGCCAGCAAACAAACTAAGTCGGAGTTAGCACCTAACCCAAAAAGCTCGATATTCAGAAACTGAAAAATCAACTCATCAACTTCCGTCGCCTTCCATTTTTTTGATTGTGCTTGTTCCTGTTGTGTGTCCCAATATGGCAATCTGCATGAGCGTCACATGACTCGAGGCGGGAGAATTTTGGACTGCAGTACCCATTTCAACCTCTAGCTTTCAGTCAATATTACATACTGCACTTTTAAATAATTATTATATTATTATAACTATTTTTAGCAGTATTTTTTAAACACAGGGCTTTACAAATATGAGTCTGAATTTAATTGAAAATGTTTATCTTCAAATATCATCATATTAGGAGATCTTATTAGACATCAAAAAGTATGAAAACCCCTGGTATATTAGGAATTTGCAAACAAATGTGAGCAGTCAAAACTGATTTTTTTTTTAAGTGGGTCAAATTCCTTTGCTTTAAATAACACAGATGAAACAAAAATGAAAGGACAATGGGTTAAGTAGATAGCAGTTATATGTCTGTAATAATTAGAGTTTATAGTCTACTGGAGTCACGTTTGAAAAGAAAAAAAGAAATCCAGGAGGGTCCCAAAACTCAGAGCGTGGTTCCTTCCTGAGAGAGAGAGAGAGAGAGAGAGAGAGAGAGAGAGAGAGAGAGAGAGAGAGAGAGAGAGAGAGAGAGAGAGAGAGAGAATTTTGGATCCGCATCTATTCAGGGCAGTTTTCACATTATGACTGGGCAGATGAGAAAGAAAAAAAACGGACATTTCTCATTAGGGTGTGAGTGTGGACCGTTGTGGATCTTTTGCGAATAATGAGCACTGCGCACAATGATGACAGCGGGGCAGAAACTTAGCTACACAGAACTTTATGAAACATATCAGTGCTGAACATCGACTCATGGAGAGTTAGTGGGGCTGTTGAATTGCGCTCGGTGTGTAGGTACAAGTCGGAGTTTCTACGTTGAAGTTTTTGGATGTACTTTTTTTTAACGAGCGCATTTTTAAATTCTGTTTTGACTTCTCCGTCATGGCACTATATTTTGTATTATTCGCTCTGTTGGCTCTGATTTTGCCCGGAGATATTTGGGGAGCGGGAACTTACGCGTCACGATACAATCAACATGTGGATGAGAGTCAGTCTGTATCTGCTGCACAGAGTGGAACTAAGGTGACCAGTAGACACAGGTAAGATACAAACGAGTTTTCATTTTAGCAATAACCTGCAAAAATCTGAGTTGATAATTTGATCATTTAATCAAATTAATAATTATAAGTAATACATTTGTACTCTGAAAGATGTTTTGTCATGTAAAATGTCCTTCTGGTGGGCCTAACAACTAAATTAAGATCACGTGGTGTGTCACACGTACCTTTTTTACACGGAGCTGATATGCTATTTCAAATATAAGTTCATAGTTTTATGATTTTTCTAGTTTCTAGTCACTAAGACCAGTATGAAATCACCTCTTGCCCTGTGAGAGCGTGAGCTACTGTTGGACAGGTCTTCCCTTTTTTGGCATTACTAAGCAGACGTCAATGCATGTGCATTGGGACAGAGGCCAAAGGATGAAGACCTTAAGTGCACTTATCCTGGCATTAGCACAACCCAGTGGTGTACAGAAGTTCTGCGGGAAAGAATATGTTGGCCCCTGGCACCACTGCTTAAGGCTGTTTGAACTCTGTTTTGTTTTTACAGATGTGTGAAATATTACATGACTTGTGGTAGCTGAAATCCCCCTTCACAGTGTGTCATGTTTCCTGTCTGTCTAATATGTTGGATGATATAATTTGCCCCTCTACTTTTGATCATGTTGCAGGCTACTGAGTCAGTCCACATTATGCGTCATAAATAGCTGGTATCCTTTACGAAATATAAGTATACTTCAAGTTCATTTTATAAAGTATACTTAAAGGAGCTAAACGCAAGTCTCTGAGTTTTTGCAGAACTACGCCCCCTCTGGCGACAAGCGAAACTGCAACCAGAGCTGTGCGCGTTCATGGAGGAACACACACACATACGCACGTTTGCACGAGCTGTTCATAACCTAAGGAGCATCAGCCGCACACTGTGCGGCACACATCTTTTGTTACAGTCATAATGAGGTAATACAGTAATAAATCTGCAAGTCATTTAAAGTATATGAAAGGAAAGGCATTCGAGTAAATTACACACTTATGTGTGTGAGAGGGGGAAACGGGGGTAGTAGAAAACTTCCGTTTTTGTTTCCATCTATCTCCCTGTGCTTACTGTATCCACTTATGATTGAATTATTATGGAAACACGTTCAGTTATCACTTTGTACAGGATCCGTTTGAGCCCTAGAGCATACCAGAGATCTCTCCGTTTGTTGAAAGCCTTCCCGATGTCGACTCTCGTCTTATTCCGACGCATGGCACTGGACAGACTGAAGTTTTATTTTCTTTGTCTCACGCGGAGTTTGCGTTGGGGTTTGTAATGAACTACAAGCCGGTCTCTTTCCGCGCCATATACAGATATGAAGTGCACGTCACCGAAAGCAACAGATATGAGCTGGATTTTATTAATCATCGGCTAATTTCAAAATCAGCAAAGACAGCAATAAGAGAGATCGGCAACAGGCCCGGTAAGATCAATTCATTTCTTTACTTTTAATGAAGATGGTAGTGTTAAGCGTCTGCGACTTACTTTCACTTTGATTTGCGATAGATTGCGGCGCGCTGGCTTGCTCAGCTCAGCTGCTCATCTGAGGTGATGCGCGTCGTCATATATGACTAAAATAACATGACATATAGCTTGGTTTCAACAACCAGATGCATTTACACTTGTCCAGTTTCGTCTGGAATGCGGCCCAGACCACGTCCTCAAGTGGTTTGAGCGATCGGATTCATCCGTCTCTAACGCGTTTCAGAGGGCATTTACACCCTAGTCTTTTCACGATCGAATAGCTATCCGATAACAGAAAACACATGAAGTGACCAGGTGTAAACAGCCCCTTTGAACCCATCGTCTACTTTTGTGGAAAGCTGACTAGAGTTGTGTCGCTCGAGTTGTCTTCTCTGATACGGAGAACGGCGGCGAATAGCTACACGAACCTGCCAGACATAGCCAGGCGAGCGTGAACGCGCATGACGTCACGCCCAGTCTCAGATTCGAGCCCGAATCCCTCTTATATATTTCACTGTACAGGATTATAGAGGCGATCTCAGTGATCAGAGAAGGGCTCATTCAGCTCATCAGGCAAGTGTTTAAGCATGTATGGGTTAGAAAACGGCTATTTTTAACATGAAATGTTGCGCAATGCACCTTTAAGTAATGTACAAGTATATTATTTTTAAAGGGATAATTCACTTTGAAATGAATTTTTGGTATGTTTTAGCTTACCTCAAGGGCATCCAAGATGTAGGTGTCTTTGTTTCCACAGTAGTTTCAATTTTGAAATTTTTAGGTCAAACCGTTCTTGTCTTTCAATCATATAATGCAGGTCTATGGTCACCCCCTCAAAGAGCATGCACAGAGAAGTCCAAATTAAACATGATTTAATGACTCGTAAATGTAAGTACACATTTATGGCCTAAGACACGAAACGAGCGGTTTGTGTGATCTCTCGCGTGTGTACGTCACTTATAGTTTACACAGAGATTTCACAAATCTTACCATTCACTGTGAAGATCTAGACATATTTAGATATACAGGAAATTGCAATGGAAGACGATTTCGATATATCAACAGTCAACGTTGATTTTTTTCGCAACCGCGCGAGAGATCACTTCCGGCGCTTTCTGGCGCTCGCGCAGACCGAAGCACCCAAGCCTTCAGATCACTTGGACGTGGCTGTAGTTACAAGAGGTAAAAACTACTGTTCGTTTTCTCACACAAACCGCTCATTTCGTGTCTTAGGCCATCGATGTGTACTTTCATTTACGAGTCATTAAATCGTGTTTTCGTTGCATGCTCTTTGATGTGGTGACCATAGACCTGCATTATATGACTGAGAGACAAGAACGGTTAACTGACCCGACTACTGCAAGCACTACTGCAGCTCTAGTAAAATAGGGCTGACAGGGTTCATTCATAAATTTCATAAAACGTGGTATATATGCACAATCGACAAAGAAGAAGTTGATCCAGGAACATGTGGTACTTGGTGAAATCACGTTCACCTGTCGAGGCAGCGCGTAGATTACTGGTCTGCAATAAGATTTTGTGACTTGATCTGCGTGCACAGTGTTTGCTTGTTGGGAGATTGTTTAAGCATCTCTCAAGACAGTTTGCTAAGCTCAACTTTATGTAAATCATTCAGATTTCAAATGGGAAATACAGACTTTCTTACCCATGATTGCAAACATTTGTAAAACTGGATATAACAAGTAAATATGATATGGGAGCAATATAGGGACACTGACCAAGACAAATGCTAATCTTTGTACGGAAATATTTTGGACAATGTAAAAAGGTATTTGATATGAATTTCTGTGGTTCTGCAAATTAATGATGTATCAGTATCATTCAATGCAGAAAAAGTCTGAAAATAAGCCGGGGGAAAACCATGAACACAGATTTTTAAATGATGGCCTTTAGATTGCATGCAGAAAAACTAATCTGCCTTTAGACAGCATGCTTAAATATATTTGAGCTTTGTTTGTATGGATAACTCAATTACCCTGCAGGCCTATCACGGTTTCTCTTTTGAGCTTTTAATACATTGCCCTATGTTGCTGTGTATTCTCACTATTATTTCTGTCCAAGTTCTGTTTCTGCTTGAGATGTTGAAGGAATACTTCATTCCTTGCCAAATTGGGTCCTGTGGATTTTTATCCTGTTGAGGAGAAGTGTTTATTTTTAGCCGCCTTAAGATGGATGTTCTTGAGTCTGAGTGACACAGGCCTGACACTTGTGTCTGGGTCTTCTTGTTTATATGACTAAGCAGTGAATTTTATTATTGTATAAAAATGTATGCTGGCAGGTGCAGTGTCTTAAACATAATGAGGTGACTGGAAGTGTTTATAGACAGAGTTCTTTCCAAAACCAAAAAAGTATCCTGCTTCCAATCCTGAGTAATATCCATTGTGGTAATTAAACCGGGAGCAAGAATACAAGAATGCTGCACATTGGAACTCATTCTTGAGACTGATCTTGAACACAATCAAAATGGATTTGTGTACATATGAGACAAAGAAGCCATTGTGGCCCCAAAGTTTTTGTTTACTTTTCCTCTCTCAAATTTGATAAAGCTGAGAACCACTATTTCCTTTTTTCTCATTGGTATACATGGACTCAGGCATTTGTCTTTCTTTTTTCTTTAACCACCCCCACAGACTACAACAGAAACAATGGCTCAGTGTTCTACTGCCATCACTCTTTAGTTGTATACCCCAAATACCACAATTTGTATGCATGTCCTAATTAATGCATGTGCACACGACGTCAATGAATCCATCCATAAATTTGTTATTAATGTTGGCTTATATTCAGAATGTCTTTTCATCACACCCCCAATCCAAACTCACATACACAGTAGGATATGCATATTAATATTTCACTCTATTTTACAAACAAACACGACATTTTGTATTTATAATGCATGATGAAAAAGCTTTAGTCAATATAGGTCCACAGAAACACAAATAAATTGCTTGGTTGTCTGTGGTGAAGATGTCCGTGTTGAACTTGTGTACTCGGAGTGTCTGGGCCCCATTTATTTGTATGTGTGAGAGCAGAGCACTTGCAGTTGATGCATCGAGACATTCCAGTCTCAGCACTGCTCATGATAACGAATGACTAACCAGGCTCAATGAGTTATTTTAATGAACCAGTAACATTGGATTCCAGCCTGGTTTCAATCCCATCTAAACAAGCTCCCTGAGAAAACAGCATAATTTATCTCTTTAATCAGAAAATTTGTTTTTAAATCATGCAACTCTCTAAGGTGTTGGGACATGAAATTCTCATCGAATATGAAAACAATTCCACATGAACAAAAATGAGCATCTTTTGTTTATCATATTTAATTTTTTTAAAATATAGTATTATTATTGTTTTTTTTAAATATTTGTTTTCCCATATAAATATGTGCCCAGAGGAGATTGGTGCAGAATGGTGATATCTCCCCTCTTATATTTTTGATAAGCTGGATAGGAATCATAAAGAATCAAGTTTCCAATTCTTATTCCTCCTAACAATTTCAGTTGCTTATCGGTTCAATTAATCATTTTTGGTTTTAGTTCTTTTAAGGACTAAATATTTGTAACAAATAAAAAATAAATAAATAAATGCAAAGCCAAATGATGAGATCATTTAAATAAATAAATGTAAAACATTTCTTGCAAAAGGTGTGTTTACAGAGACTTTTTATACACTTTTCCACAGCTTATTTAGAGGTAACATTACTAAACAAACAAAAAGGGGCCAACATTCAGTTCATTAATCAGGCTAAAGACAAAGTAGGATAACTTATGCCATTCAATAAATATACAAGAACAACAACAACAGTTATAATAATTAAAATATTATTATTATTACTATTGTTATAAATAATATATTTGACTGTAATTTAAATTATTAAAAATACACAAATTAATAAAGAAATGTATTACTATTGTACCAAGTTAAAAAGAAATATTTAAAAATAATCGTTTTACAAGATTTACAAATTATTGCTGTCTTATTTTCATTCCTTTCAAACTTAAACCTTATTAAAGCTTTTATTTTGATGGAAAAACCCAAGAAGACCTTATAGCTCTTTTTTGTGACCGATTTATAAATGATTCACATTAAAAATTTGGAAAGATGGCTGTCATAATAAGTGACCTAACAGCCATTGCAAAGATGTATTCAGTAAATGCTCTGCAGTAGCATTTACTGTGAACCAAGCCTCTTCAATAAACTGAAAATACCAAATTATGAAACAAGATGTAGTAGCACGTCCGTTTATTTCTATAATTACAATGCAGCCTTGCACATAGTAATAATAAAAGCCGTAGTTGTGTATGTTTGATTCATCATTAGAGTCACTCATTTGGGAATCGGACAACACTGGTCAGCTGTAAGTTTTGATTCACCTAAAAGAAGTGGTTTATTATTAGAGACATTCGTTCAGTAGTTTGAATGTACTTGCGCTGAATGTTTTGTCTCACTAAAAAGAACTGCCATGCTTGTCTGTTTCACCCATTTGATTTAGTAGCGGCACATGAACTGATCATGTCTTCCTACTAGTTATAGCACAAAATAAACATGAATGACCATCAGAAGTAGGTTAGAAAAAAAACAAAACACATCATTTTTCAAGTTCAAGCCCTACGACGGTAATCTACTGGTTTGATTGTCGGTGGTATGATTGGTCAGATCACTTGTGAACCAAACTCTCAGTGAAGGGGGAATTTAAATAAGGACCAGGTTTGCTGCCAACTCTAATGGTGCCATAACTTTGCTAACTGGTTGCACTGATGTGATGCTTTGTTGGTGTCATTGGAGGAAAGTGTTTGTTTTGAAGGGCAATTAAAGATAATTTTTTAATTTAGTTATGTCTACAATGAAGAAGTAAGTCCTCCACCATTTGAATTGAAGCCTTAAGAAGAATAATTTGCCCATGCTTTGTACACAAACAGAAACTGGTGTGCCTACGTAGTGACACGGACTGTAAGCTGTGTAATGGAAGATGGAGTGGAGACCTATGTGAAACCTGAATACCAGCGCTGTGCTTGGGGCCAATGTCCCCATGTGGTTTTGTAAGTATTCATGAGCAAAAACACTGCCAAATTGCATTTAATCTTGGTTACCACTCGCTATTATGACAGTGTCAACCCGGAAAGGTTTGGCCCATGTCCCTCTCTCAACAGGATAGATGTCCACCAAATTATTTGTGGAATGAGATTGGAGAGAAGTTGAGACAGAAATCTGTCTCTGATGAAAGTTATTTGTAATGTTGTTATTTTAATCATTTTTTTAGAGAACAAATTTCAGCCATAAGTCCAAGGTGAAGTTGACCTTATTCTTAGGTCTTAGTAAACCTCAGTTTTATCTAAGATCTTCAAAGACAGACATAATACCAGTCCCCTATACAGAAGCCACATCACAAGTATGAATGGAGTATAAACAATGTTCTAATAATAGCAACAACTGCACTTGAAAGTTAAGTTAGACACACAAGAGGGTTGCCAGAGCAAAGCAAACACTTTCAAAGATTTTAATGATCTACTGAAAGCTTTGAATGAATAAAATAACAAAAACATGGCCAGAAACAACAGCTCTAAGAAAATGAAGAACAGGCCTTTATTGTTTCCTAGCAGAGTTTTGGCCTTCTGAAAAGCAATAGCCTAGGATATGAACGTAACAGAAATATTTTATATCTGCCTACTTGAGCAGTGCCATTATAGATGCTCCGGTTAAAGTCGTGAAAGATGATTAAGTTAAACTCCGGCGCAAAATGAACCTTTGGTCTAATAACACATTGGTACCTAGTCTACTGTTCCGTTTTTAGAGATAAAACTCTTTACATTCGATTATCATGAAAACAAATCTCAGAGAACGGTTGACTAGGTACAAATGTTTTATTAGACCAAAAGTTCATTTTGCGCTGGAAGTCTCCATTTTTATAAATTTCAGAAAAGTACAAACATATTAAATCTTCCATTTTACAACAAAAAAGTCAAGTTGGACTAGTATACATATAATTCATATTCATAGTTTGAGCTCTTGTTAGAACCGAATTTGACAAAATTTCTCACACCACAGGTATCGGACTGTTAGAAGACCACGGTACAAGGTTGCCTATAAAATGGTCACAGAGATGGAATGGAAGTGCTGTCATGGTTACTCGGGTGATGATTGTAGTGAAGGCTCCTCTGCCAGACAGGACAGCAGTGGCAGACATACTGGTGAAGAAGGTATGGCCTTACACTTAACCCTAGAATGCATAAAGGGAGTCTAATTGATCTGCTAGGTTGTGATTTTGAGAATATTTTAATTGCTGCAGCATTTCATTTTCATTTTATGTCTTAATGAAGAAACATTATTGGTATGGGTCATGCATTCTAGGGTTAAAACAGAAAGAAAATATGCTTACTGAATTAGTAAATGTTAAATAACTTCAATGTTAATCATTGTTATTAATAGGGAGAATTGACAACAACACGATCAGACAACTTGAGGAACAAATTCAAAGCTTGAATAAAGACCTTCACAACCTCCACTCAATCGTACACAGCATGAATAAGAAAATGCACGAGGAATCTCGAAGGGAAGGCATCAGTGGCAGCAACAATCTAGCTGACGCTGCCCAGTCAGGGATGAAGGAGACCATTCACAGCATCCAGACCAAACTGGACATGCTGGACAACATGACACAGGTCCATGACAAGACTCTCACCAGCATCAACAACCACCTTGTGGGCAGTAATGGAATTGGGAACGAATTGGACAGTCGGTATGGCACATTTAAAGAGGAAATTCTCAGGGAGCTGGAGCGGCGAGTGACACTGTCGTGCTCGTCTTGCCAAACTGGAGTTGAGAGCGTGCAAAGGCAACAGCAGGAGGACAGAGAGAGGATCCGAGCGCTGGAGAAGCACATCAGTGTGATGGAGCAGCACCACCGTCAAACTGTAGAGATGCTTGAGAGGGAACTATCACGCTCTCAGAGCTGCTGTGATTCCCTGAGCGATCTTGACAGGAGACTTAGCGCCATTGAGAGGAAGGTCAGTTCGACTGCAGAGACGTATGATATCCTTAGAGGACATCTTGAAAAAGAGTTGAGAGGATCAGGCAATGGAAATGGTGGTCGGGGGAAAGCACTTGATGAAAAACTGAACAGTCGTCTTAGAGACCTGGAGAGAAGACTGAACGGGACTGTGAGAAAAACCGAGCAAAAATGCTTCCATACTGAAACAAGTATGAAGGAGTTTGTCCAGAGAGAGATCGGCCAGATTAAAAACTCTGTCCTCAATCGAAATGATGATCATGGTTATAGAATATCAACCATGGAAAAAGGCATCCAAGACTTGAACCGTTTCTTTAACGATCACAAAAATAACCTGGAACGGTTAGGGAACAAAACAAATGATCTCGACAGCGGACTTAAATCAGCGATTCATTTGTGCACAGAGACGTGCGGTCCAAAAATGAGTGAGACAGCAGATACTGTGAAAAGCCTGGAATGGAAGGTTCTTGGCAATGAGGAGGACATTAAGACGTTTGACACCAAGCTAAAGGAATTAAGTGTGTCTGGTGACTCCTTATTTGACCGTATTGAAGATCTAAGCCATGACGTTCAAAAAATTAAGGACCTGACAGGACACAACGGAGAACACTTTAACCAAATCATCACCGATGTGGAGAATATGGGACGTGATTGTGACATATGTAGTACGATAGACAGAGAGCTCAAAAAACTAAGAAACATAACCAGCTATTCTTTTAATAAGTTCCAGGGAGAACTTACAGATTTACGCGGAAAGGTAGATTCAGATGAGTATGTTTGCTCGCAGGTATGCTCAAACCTCCAGGAGGAAGTGGGCAAATTGAAAGAAGAGGTAGAGAAATGCACAGGCCAATGCATGAACAGTATGAATGACCATAAAAGGAACATAGACAATCAAAACACCTTAACTCGCAAGCTTGGCAAAGACCTGAAGTCCATTCAAGGTGACCTCACAGGAGTAATCCAAACGTTCAGCTCCATCAATGACACTTTGAAAGGCTTCAGGAACACCATACAGAGGCATGACAACTCCATTTCTGATCTGAACAGGTCTAAGGACGAATTTAACTCGGATTTAGATCGGATTGAGGATGATTTTAACAAGCACAAAGAAGACAGTAAAGGACGTTTTGATGGGATCAGTAGCTTTAACAGCAATTTGATGATCGAAATGGGAGAATGCAAACTTTCTCAAGAAGGGCTGGATAAGAGACTCTCGAAGTTGGAGGGTGTCTGCAGTAGACTGGATTCCTTGTCAGTGAATCTTCAGACTATCAAAGATGGCCTGAGCAAACATGTATCTGGGCTTTGGATGTGTGTTAATGACCTAAACGCCACAGTTATCTCACACGGTGAGGCCATCAACAGCATTCATGATGTTCACTTAGAGAACATTAGTGGCAGGATGAACAACCTCAACTCTTCCATACTGCATGTTCTCAAGGAGTTCCAGATCTTCTCTGAACACGACTTTACTGGTAGGTTCTTATCTAGTTAGGAATAAAGATTTTTTTAAATAAAGAAGAAGTCTCTTATTAACAGTTTTCTATTTGAATGTATTTTAAAATGCTATTTATTCTTGTAATGGCAAAGTTGAACTTTCAACATCATTACTCCAGTCTTCAGTGTCACCTGATCCTTCAGAAATTATTCTAATATGCTGATTCGGTGCTCAAGAAACATTTCTTATTATTATCACTGTGGAAAACAGTTGTGCCGCTTAAAATATTTGTGAAAAACGTGATACCCTACCATTCAAACGTTTGGGGAAAATTGTGGTTGTGATACTCCTAAGTGTTCCTTGTTTGGATTTATTAAAGACTGTTTTTGTTTATTATCTCTGCCGTGCACTTATTACTTTAACCAGCCATAAAATGACATTTGGGTGGGAAAGTACATTAGTGTAGTTGAAATAAAACTCTTTCCTGTTATGTGACATGCTATACTCCATCTAAAATATTAGCCAGCATTTGACTTTTGGGGCAATCCTCAGGACCTCCTGGAGTCGCTGGTCCTCAAGGAGAGAAAGGATCCAAAGGACCTCCTGGGCCACTTGGACCTCCAGGCAGAGAAGGACCACAAGGGAAAGTGGGGCCAATAGGACCTCCAGGTAAATGAATGAATAAATTAATGTTTTTTCCCCTCACAATTTTAACAGAACTGGCAAAATTAATAATCTTTTCCTATACATTGTTCTTATTTGTCTCCTATTTAGGCCTCAGAGGTGAACAAGGTCAGTATTCTTACTTTTACTACTGCCATGACTTTATCTTCTACTGTTAAAATGATTTTGCTTTATAGATATAATAAAAAAGTGTTTTTGTCTGTTCTTGTCTTTGCCAGGACCTCCCGGAAAGGATGCCGATGTTCCAAGACTGTCATTCTCAGCAGCACTCACAAGACCACAAGACTATGCAGGCACTATTGTCTTCAACAAGGTCTTTGTCAATGAAAAAAAGGCCTACAATGCAAAAACAGGTATGCATATTAAAAGGAAAGCAAATTGTATGTGAATTAAGGACTGTCATAACCATAAATGCTCTCACCAAATGTATTTTGACAGGTATGTTCACTGCTCCTGTGAATGGGCGATACTTCTTCAGTGCAGTCCTGACTGGTCACAAGAATGTCAAGATTGAGGCAGTCTTGTCGAAATCCAACTATGGTATTGCCCGTGGAGATTCGGCAGGCTATCAGCCTGAGGGTCTTGAGAAACCAATGGCCGAGACACGGCACACTCCTGGCTCCCTGGTCGTCTTCAACATCATACTTCCTCTGCAGGAGGGAGAGACTGTCTGCATTGACCTGGTCACAGGTAAACTTGCCCACTCAGTGGAGCCCCTGACGATCTTCAGTGGTATGTTGCTCTACGATTAAACAGGGAACAGATTGTAAGACTCATCTGAGACTCAGTGAGGACAATGTCAGATGTAAAAATTTGTATCTGGACAAATCGTGATTTGAAGAACATTTTTACATATTCAATGTTGAATAAGGTTTATGATACAAAATGTAGGCAGGTTTCATTTTTAAAAAGCCATGAGGACTCACAAGATGATTATATTTATCTATTATCAGAACAATGAACTGAAATTTGCATATGGTTGTTTTTACATTTTATTCTTGAATGGCAAATCATATGTTCATATACTGTGAGTGACCATGTTTGCTTTTATTAAAATGCAGCCGGGTGCAGCAAAGTTCCTTCTAAAAAACTAGCCCATCCACATAATTTGTTGCCCTGAAAGAGATGCGAATGAGTGACTCTCAAACTGGGAATGAAAATGTATATTACCATATACCACGCTGAGAATGATTTTTTCTTGATAATATTTCAGCAATACTGTCATTTCTATCGGCTATTTAGAATCTGAACTAGTCATGCCAAATTAATAAATTAAGCCCTCTTCTGATTTAATAGTTTTGCAAAAAATTCTAAATTTGTTCACGATTCAGTTTGATTCATTTGGATGGTTTGCTCACGCACTTAATTTTTTGCAGTGGTTTCTCAAACTGAAAAAACAAAACAAAAAGAGTGCTGGATGAGGTGGATATATACCTACAATAAATTATAACAAACTTCACAAATGTCTTTTATCAGCGGTTACACAGCGCATGCATCTTGTGAACTCCGTAAAGACAATTTACAATATAAAAATGTTAAATAAAAAAATTAATATAAAAATTACACTTCAAAAAGAAGGAACTCATTTTAAAACGAGAAAAGATCTTTTCTCAAGATGAATGCAATAAATATTACACATGACATGATATTTTCTATTATTCCCCATTTCCCCACTGTGTTAGCCTATTCTTTCATATTTGTGGCACATTTCTTCACTTAATCTCCAAATTTGGAAAAGTAACTATAAAAGGATGAATTCAAATAAAGCTGGCTGCGCAGAGAGGGACATTTTTAGCTCTGCCAGAGGCTATAGATCAAGAAACTTCTAACCCATCCTCTGGTAACTCTTCCAAAGAAAACTATCAATGTTTATGCTAGATGCAGAAAAGATTTCATCCTGGCTATCTTTTTGTCAATGGATTTTTATTTTGTCTCTTTGGACTGCAGATGTTCTCTAAAATAGACCGACTTTAACAGCTCAGAATCTGCATCTTTGCCAGACATGTATTTGTGTGACCTTAGCTGTCTTGGTGGTCTGCCTTATGTTTTCTTTAATACAAAGGGATTTAAAGGACTTTGCACTAAAGTCCAGGAGTGAGATCAAACCTTGACCATTTAGTCCATTTTAACCTCCAGATGAGAGGAATTACTTAAAAGGCCTTTATAATATTGCTTCAAAATGATTCATTTTGCAGTAAGAGTTGATGTGCTTAAATTGCAATTGGGACCAGGTTATATCAACTGTCTAGGCATAATCTGAACCATATGTTCACATCTGACAGTTTCACCTTGCTTCTCACTACAGGTATTACATTGCAGTATTATAAATCAGTAATGTATCAGACTGTTGTGCAGTCCAAATAGTCCTCTGATTATTTTCTTCTTCCAAACTGAATGTTTAGTATTGGGTATACAACACTATACTTGCAATGCTGGTTTTTAATAATAAAAATATATTTTTTAACAAAAATCTTTTTTTTTTTTTAAGATTTTTTTTTTTTTAATTTTCGTAGGAAAAGTAGCCTACTATGTTCTGATTCCCTTCAACCATCCACACTCGCTCTGCCAAAGCCCCGCCCTCCAAAGTCACTGGCTAAAAAAAAGCGCGGGCCACTCCACTAATTTATATAAACTTAGCGCCCTCTAGTGGACAATGATAAATCTTTCCCAAGTTTTTCTCGTGACTTGAACGGACCCTACCTTCTTCCTGATAAGGATTGAGTGTTGGTTGAAGTGATAATATTAAATTATGGATGACTTTTCATGGAAAGAGAATCATATCCCATATGAGCATGGCGCGAGGAAGCCTCTCTTTGTGATGGATGTCAGTTACTGTTACTCATTCAAACAACGCTTGAACAAATTACCATGAAATCTGATAGGCGTTCCTCGTCAGGCTACTGAACCCCGGTCAAGTGATCACGTAAAAGTGCGGTAATTCTACCTGCTGAGGCCGTTTCTACATAAAAAAAGAGGCGGGGACAATGAGGCGGAATTTAGGCTACTTCTTGAAGAAGCTCTCCGAGAGTTCACGAGCCATGGCGTGCTGTTGCCATAGAGACACAGCGACCACAGATCGACGCGCCTGGAAACAATGTAACATTTATTAGCCTATAACTTTAACATTATACTGTTGATTTTAAACATCGACTAAAGGTAAGGGAATCTAGCTGTTGTTTGACGTTGAATATAGTCTTGACACTTGGGGTCGCATTTGTTGGGTTTTGGTCTGTGATATGGCAAGTTATCACCTTAAAATTGAGTTTTTGTCATCACTTTTGTCATTTCACAAAGCCTTGACTGAGTATACCCAAACAAGTATACTTCATAAGTTCATTTTATAAAGTAAAGTGTATTTTAAGTATATTTATGTAGTAAGTATACTATTATCAATGTACTAGAATTATACTTGTAAGTGTACTATTTCAATTGTGCTTGGCACTAAATTGGCCCACTTTTTAGTGTATGGAAGTACACTTTGAAGTAAACTCAGTAAACTAGCCTACTAGTTAAGTAGTTTTATACTGCAAGTATACTTTTAGGTTATCTTTAAGTAAACTTAATCTTATAGTTTACTATTTATTTATAAAATGTTGCACTTATACTACGATGTATTATTTAGATCATTTTTACCTTTACCTGTACTTTAAATAGATTATAAGTAAATTCCTATTTACACTACCAGTGGACTACACAACAATTCACATACTCAGAATTAGAAACACATCTGTTTTTTTTTTTATAAATCAATATTTTCAAACAAATCTATTGTATTGGATGCCAAAACGTGTAAGTTTATTTAAAATTATGTGGGGAAAAGTATGTAATAGACTACTCGATCAAATTCTTACATATTTTATTGCACTTTTATCAAGATATATGCATTGATTTATGTAAAAAAAATATGCAAATTCAGGTTCAAAATGTCATGCACGCCGGCCAAGGGAAGGCTTGAAGTTTTGCAGATCTACCGGCTGCTTCAGTGCGTCCAGGATGGAGAAAAGCCGTACATAGAGAAATTAATCAGCATGGGTGTTGATGACCTCATCAATCTCACCGAGCCTCACGAGGGTTACGGCGTCCTGCACCTGGTATCAGTGGCCAACAATCCCGACATGCTGGAGTTCCTCATAGCTCTGGGTGCCCGTCCAGATGTGCAGGACAGGAGGGGGCGGACACCGCTGATGCTGGCCGCAGAGCTCGGATATGATGGTATTGTGTCTCTACTGGCCAAGAAGAATGCAGACATGAAACTTGTTGACAAAGAAGGGAAAGGTAACTTTTAATTATTTTATTTTATAATATAACTGCTACTTTTTATCCATTACAAAAAACAGGCACACAACTTTTAAAATAAATAACTCTTCATAAGACAATTTGACAGCAGCCACGTAGTCGACAGTTGATCATCAATGGCTGGCATCATCATGCCAGTTATGTAGATTTACTGTATTCAGTCTATCTAATTACAGATCAGGGCACGACCAGTTAGTGTGTAAACTGATCTGAGTAATCCGTACTCTGGCTTCTCTCCCAGGCTTGCTCTTCTACTGCATCCACCCAACCAAAAGGCACATGCGCTGCCTTCAGGTGGCCCTAAAAGGCAATGTAGATGTCAACAATGTTTCAGAAACTGGGATGCCAGTGTTCCTGCTGGCCTGCGAGCAAGCTCAGGACTGTGAGGAAATCTCTCTCCGTATCCTAGAGAGAGGAGCAGACCCCAATGCCACAAATCAAGTATGCAAATGTTGTGTAATTGATAATGATATTTGAATCCTCTTTGGCTGAGCTGGATTCAAACAAACCGACCTTCTAATATCGCAAGCATGTAATTTAAATGCCAAACCATTTGTTCATACACAATGGTATTACATTTACCACACAGAATAACATGTAGGCCTCCTAGCTCTGTTGACTGGTGTTGGTGAGATCGATTTTGTGTGTATGATATCCCAGAAAACCGGTTTGACAGCTCTGATGGAGGCCACCAAAGCGGGAGCAATAGGTCTAGTGAGATCCATCCTCAAGAAAGGAGGAAACGTCAATGCTCTGGATAAGAAGCGATTCCACTCAGCTCACTTTGCGGCTGAAAAAGGCTTCTTTGAAGTGAGTGTCACTTCTGTTGTTGTGTTCTTCTATTATATAGAAAGTGATAAAATGGATATAAGCCTATGTATTTCTCCCAGTGATTATGATCACTGCTTTTAGTTCTACTTATGCTGTTTCCAGATCATTAAGGTGCTGTCTGCATATGGAGCAGATTTTGGAGCGGTAACAACAGAGGGGGATACACCGCTACACTTTGCTGCCTCTGGTGGCTACACAGATTGCTGCAGGTTTCTAGCTCAAAGAGGTAAATCAATTCATTCTTAGTCAAAACTATTAGACAAAATCATTAAACCAGGGGAGAAGGCTGTTTATATTAGCATTTTGTAATTATTTTACAAAAAGTTTAATTTAGAAATTTTAATTCATAAGGAGTTTAGTTTATTTTCCTTTCCATTCTCGTTCTAGAGAGAATTTGATTGGATAGAAATCTGTGCATTGCAGGATGAGTAGTCAATATTATTTGCTCTGTTTTCCTGAGAAAGACTGGATTAAAAAAAAAAACATACACCCATACAATTGTGATAAGGCTTAGGCTGTGATTTAAAGTAATAAATATTTGCAGATCATGTTTCTGAGTGAAGCACTGTGTGGTTCTGTAATTCTATAAAATACTGTATATTTATTGGTATTATTATATATTATTTTTCCTAAATACTTAATTGTTTTATTTTACAGTGAAATATTACAATAGTATTCCAACAGCAATATTTCTTATAGTCTCATATTTTCATTTAGTAATAATTATAATAAATTGTCCAGCCCTACAAAAACAAAGCATTTAAAATTGCAATAAAAAAATGTATCAGAAAAAACACAATTTTTTCCCCCAAATCATGCAGCCCCTACTATAAAAGCAATATTGCTTCTTGATGTGGAACGTGCAGAACTTTATTATATTAAATGCAATTTCCTACTTCAGGATGCAATCCTAAACTGAAGAACCAAGAAGGTCTGCTTCCTCGTCAGATTGCTAAGGAATTTGGCCACAAAGCCACTGTAAAAGAGCTTAAGAAGGCAGAACGACTACACGGAAAGTTCTCAAAAGGGATGGGCGGCACAAATGAACCATGGGCTCTGACACTTCACGACTGGTCTCTTGAAAACGAGAATGCGCTAAGAAGTGCTTTCGAGTCTGCATCAGACGGCATCATGGGAATAGAGGTGGTGTCCAGGAGGACGTTTGTGTCTATTCTTCAGGAACTGCACGCTCCTCTAGATGATAACCAAATGCATACTCTTCTGTTTGCTCTCGATAAGAGAAGAGAGGGCTTTATAAATATGAACGACTTTCTAAGAGGACTCAAATATCTTCCAAAGTTATATGTTATGGCATCTTATGGGCCTAAGAAGAAGAAAGCAACCAAGTCAGGAAAGACCAAAAAGAATAAGTTCAATCTACCCATGCCCATCTGCACTGTGCCACCGGATCTCTTGCAACGCCGTGATGATGGCGGGCCACCGCATTATATGATTGAAAGCTACCAGCATTTTACAGACACCCATAGATATGACCGGGACCATCGACCAGCACATCCTATCGAAGATGATACAACGTGGTACATCGATGAACCCGAAAAGATATACATAAACATGAACTACTGTGCTAAAACAGGAGATATTGAGTCTCTTAGGTTAGCACTCATTCAAAAGGTTCCAGTAGATGTGAAAGATCGGTTCTACAAGACACCACTCATGGCTGCATGTGCAAGTGGGAACTTTGAAGTGGCAAAGTTCCTTCTTGATAATGGGTAAGATTTATGAACTTTTAAGTGTTGACTTAACTTAAGAATAGTCCAGCCAAAATTGAAAATTCTGTCATAATTCGCCCTCATGTCATTCTAAACCTGTTTGCATTTCTTTTTCTGCTGATCATAAAAAAATACTTTGAAGCATGTTGGTAACCAAACAGTTTTGTTTCCCAATAGTTTTCCATTGTATGGACAAAAAAAACAATGGAAGTCAATGGGACAGAAACTGTTGGTTACCAATATTCTTCAAAATATCTTCTTTCGGGTTCAAAAGAATAAAGAAAGTCATACAGGTTTGGAATAAATTAGGGTGAGTAAATGACAGATTTTTTGGGGTGGACTATCCCTTTAAGGATTAAATTAAAGTATTAAAATTAAGGTTAAAGTAAAAGAATTATACCCAAATGATAATCTCATTACAGGGCTGACATGAATGCATGCGATCAGTTCAACTGGACTCCTCTGCATCATGCCTGTCACGCAGGACAGCTGGACATTATACAATTGCTGCTGGAGGCGGGAGCTTATGTAGACCCGCCCACTCTCAATGGAGCCACTCCCCTAATGAGAGCCATCGAGAGCTGTAGGCCGTCCT